ACATGGTGACTATAGTTAATAACAGTTGTATCATTGAAAATTACTAAGAGTAGATTGTCAGTGTCCTTACCACAAAAAATGGTAAGTATTTGAAATAATACATATGTAAATTAGCTCTATCTAGCCATTCCACAATGTATACATATTTTAAAACATGTTGTATGTGATAAATATATATAATTTTTTTGTCAATTAAAAAATTTAAAAAAGAAATACTCTCAGACACATGTTGTGAAAATGAAATGAGTTAATATACGTAAAGCTCTTAGAATAATGCCTGGCACATAAATGCTAGGTAAGTGTTAGTTTCTATAGGTATGCAAAGAAGTGGGGGTCAGGCTTAGTTCCAAGGACAGGTCTGCTTATAACTAGTTGTACAGGCAAGTCCCTTCACTGTTCAGGGCCTTCGTTTCCTTTTAGAAAATAAAGAGGTTGGGCTAGATAATATCTTAAGATTCCCTTTTCATCTCTTCTATTCATTAATTGATAAAATTCATATTATTATTGAGCATCATGTAGGAAAAAAGTCCCTTTAAAAAAAAGGGAGAGAATGTTTTTTTCTTAGAGTATTTTATTCATGCCATAATTGAGATCTCAATATATGGGTGTGGAAGAAAGAACATGTGGTCCTAAATGTGAGGCAAAATCTTAGACTGAGTTGGCAGGTACCTCAAAGGTAATCTAGTATGCTTCTTAAACTTTTAAGAATTCTTTTTATGATAAGCATATAACATTTATATAGTGCCCTGTAGTTTAAAAGGTGGTGCTGTATGAATTAATCTTACTTCATCCTCTCATAGGAAAGAAAAGCATATATTACTCCTCTCTTTTTTGAACAAAATTTAAAGTTCAAGGAGATGAAAAACTCTGCCAAAGTCAACTGCTTTCTAAGTGATGAAGTTGGGACTACAGTCTGTATTTATATGATTCTGAATTTGGTGTTTTCATAACACCATCCCTTCCTAACAAATCCTCATCTAACTTGTGCCTGAATATTTCTAGAGTTAGAAGATTTGCTATGCATTTAGAAAATGTGTCCTTTTCCCACTAACTCCAGTTGTTACACAGTTTTCCCTTTTATTGATCTGAAAACTATAGCAGAATTATCCCTTGGGCAAGGACGCACAAGCTCATCTGAAGCTAAGAGTAGATCTAGACCTCAGCATATTTTTATACTTGTGTTTGTAGTAAACCCTTTCTCTCTAAAGATCGCAGTGTTTGCAAACAGTTTTACTGCTGCCATGTGATAGAGATGTAACCAGCTGGCATTCAGGGTGCTTATAGAGCAAACTTGAAGAGACATCCTTAAATAAAAAACATATTTTAGATGTTGCAAAAAATTTTCACCAATATTAGAAAGAGGCTTGGCTTCCCTTGTAGGTATAAAATTTAAATATTTTAAAATTTTGCTAAAGTAATGCATGTTTTAAAATCAAATATATTTTTTCTTTACACTTTTATTAAATCACTGGAAGAATGTACTAATCATAAAAATGAAGCTCAGTGAATTTTTATAAAGTGAACAGACTCATGACATCAGCATTCAAAACAAGCAGAAGAGTATTACCAGCAATCAAGAAGCTCCCACAAGTCACCCACTCACTACCCTCTCCTCCTCTGCCTAAAAAAGTAACTACTATTCTGACTTCTAACACCATTGCTTTTTTTTTTGGCCTATTTTTGAATTTTATATAAATTGAATCATATCGTATGCACACAATTTTTTTTTTTTTTTGGTCTAGCTTCTTTAGCTCAGCAATATTTTTCTGAGACGAAAGACTGATCCGTGTTGTTGTGTATCAATATAGTTCTTTATATTTGCTGTGGAGTATTCCACTATGTATGTGTACAATACCTCAGTCTGTCCTTTCTACTGTTGATGGACAATTGGATAATCTTGTTATGAATATTTCTACACATGTCTTGAAACATTTGTGCACATTTCTGTTGGATATATCTGTCTAGGAGTAGGATTGCTGTCTTTTAGGGTATGTGTCTCTTCAGGTTTAGCAGATATTGCTATATCATTTTCAAAATAGTTATAATCTACATCCACAGTTTTACATCTTTTCCAACATTTAGTATTGTCTGTCTTTTCATTTTAGTTAATGCATATAATTTAAAAATCAAATAGAACATAAGGACTTATAATGAAAATAAGTAATTGTTTTCTTAAACCCTTTGCTTTCCTGTGCCTAAGTCCCACTCTTTGGGAAGCAACCATTTGTAACTATGTATTTCTGTTTTTAACACCTTTTAAGAGGCATTGGTTAAGAGCACAGATTCTGGAGCTAGAATACCTAGATTCTTATCTCAGTTCTGCCACTTACTAGCTGTTTATTCTTGGGCAGGTTATTTAACCTGTCTGTGTCTCAGTTCTCTCATCTGCAATATGTGAGCTAATTACAGTACGTATCTCATAGAATTGTGGGAATTAAGTTAATAAATATAATGCCTTTTACGTGCTAAGTATTCAATAAGTGTTAACTATACTAATAATTATAGTATTACCTCTGTATTACTAAACAGTATCACACAGCTATTTTTGAGTCTGCAACTTTAGGTGCTATTTATTGATTTCCTAAGATAGATGAGTATTTAGCTAAGTTAATACCCTCTCTCTCTCACCTTCCCTTTTGTCTTTTCTGGATATAATTATATCTGTTTTTTCAATTCATTCATTAAAATGCATTCTCATTTTTATCTAATTGGTAACATTTATGTTCTGTTCATAGTTAAGTCTTCTTGGTCTGTGTTTTGCGTTATTTATATAAATATTGTTTAATACAGACCTGCCTAATATGAAGATTTACATTTCCTTCTCCATATTCCAGTTTCTCAACCTTGATGCTATTCAAAGCAATATGTTTCTTAAGTTTGAATTCCTTTTTATTCTCATACCAAATCGCCTTAACCAAATTTTCAACCAAATTTCTTTCTCATTCTGCCTATCCTGACTTTTGACTTTTTTTTTGATGGTCAGTGGGAAACCATTAAAACTTTTTGAACAAGCAAACGTCATAGCTAGTGACAGTGTGTAGGGTGAATTGAAAACTGTAGGGCCTAAAGCCCAATTTTCTGTCATTTTCTTTGTCTATTACTTTAATGGAGGAGTATGAGTTGTGTTTTAAAAGTTTTTTAAAGGCTATAATTTATAACTCAGCACAAGCTTCTCCATAAAAACAAGGGTATTAATGATGAGCACATAAATGCCTAGATAATTCTTAGGTAACTGAGGTTTTATGCAGTTGGGCTTTGATGGAGTCAGACTAGCTTGAATTCTGGTTTAGCCACTCATTGTGTAAAGTTAACCTTTCTTTAACCTTTCTAAGCATCACTCTTTTCCTATGGAGAAAGGAGCTAGTAGTAATACTGGCTCAGGGTTGTGAGCATAAAATAAAATAATACGGGTAAAGCACTTTAACATACCATGCCTGGCAATAGCAAACATCTCTGATGAACACCTTTGCTGCTATTTGTTGTTGATACTGTCATTATCATTATCATGTACTAATTACTGTCTGTTATAGTTGTCCTGGCAGTTTGTATCTGTGGGTTCTGCATCCATGGATTCAACCAACTATGGATTGAAAATATTCAGGTGAAAAAAAAATTACACCTGTGCTGAACATGTACAGACTTCTTTTTCTTGTCATTATTCCCTAAACCCGCAGTCTCCAACCCCTGGACCATGGACTAGTATCAGTCCATGGCCAGTTAGGGACTGGGCCGCAGAGCTCCACTGCACCCTACCCCATCACCCACCACCCCAGTCCATGGCAAAATTGTCTTCCATGAAACTTATGAACTGGTGGGGGGGGGATGCACAGCAGGAGGTGAGTGACTTCATCTGTATTTACAGCCATTCCTCAGCACTTGCATCACCACCTGAGCTCTGCCCACCCTCCACCTCTATCCATGGAAAAATTGTCTTCCATGAAACTAGTCCCTGATGCCAAAAAGGTTGAGGACTGCTGCCCTAAACAATACAGTATGACACCTATTTACATAGTATTTACAGCAATTAGGTATTATAATCAATCTAGAGATGTTTCAAAGTATATGGGAAAATGTGCATAAGTTATAAGGAAATATTACGCCATTTTATATCAGGGATTTGAGCATCCCCAGATTTTGATATCCTCAGGAGGTCCTGGAACCAGTCCCCCACAAATACAAAGTTGACTGTATACTATTTCCATGGTGCGTGTGTTTTGAATTTTGATCTTGTACTGTGGGAACACTCTTCCCATCTGTTTCACAAAGGATCTCTCTCCTGTTCCACCTAAGCTTCAAGGCCTATGGGCTGCCTTTAGATTTTTCTTTTCTTTGTTCTAAATGTCCTGCCTTGTCAATGAAGTCATGCCAAAGAACCAGGACTTCTGGGTGCCACAGAGAAGGGGCCATTTGCTACCAGTTATGGGGGGATGTGGTAAACTTTGGTTTTATAGAACACATGTGGTATTACTGTGTTTCCCTGAAAATAAGACAGGATCTTATATTTATTTTTCCTCAAGAAGGGCTTATTTTCAGGGGATGTGTTATTTTCCTCTCAAAGCCTCAGCTTGCAGCAGGCACAGCATGGCTGGGACCTGACGGGGGGAGGGGACCTGAAAGGGGGAGGGGAACCTGACAGGGGGAGCCTACCTTGTAGGTGGTGCTGCCCCCACCTTTCTGGTCACCTCTGGGATAGTAGCTGTCATGATGGGGCAGATGAGAAGGGCTGCTTGTCTTCTTTACTGCTCCGCGACAAAATGCATGCGTTGTGCAGGTATGCTGCATAGCCACGCCCATCACTAGGTCTTATTTTCTGGGTAGGGCTTATATTGGGCAAATGCTTAGAAATCCTGCTAGGGCCTATTTTAGGGGTAGGTCTTATTTTCGGGGAAACACGATAGGTGTTTTTTGTGTGTCTTGTTTTCACACATATGGGTTTTGTTATCTATGCTTTAAACTCTGGTGTTTGTTCAGAAATTTAGACTTATCTTTACTTTTGTCAGGTTTAAGCCGTTTTTTCCATACCAAACCTCGCAAGGATTTGAAGAAGATGAAGAGCATATCCATATACAACAGTGGGCACTTACTGAAGGCCGTCTTAAAGTTACGTTGTTAGAGTGTAGCAGGTATGTTCTTTGTTTTGTTATTAATACCTTATGGGAAAGAAAGTGCTGTGGAAATGTACTTAAGCAGTATTTGTTTTTATTCTCCTTATGTGTTAATTTAAATTGTATTATTTACCTGTAAATTCTTTATTCATAAATTTAATTTCATAAATTCAAACTTACAAAAAACATAAACCATGTTTTAGAAAGCACTCTAATGGGGGCTAAGGAGGTGGGATATTTATTCTGCAATCATTCCCTAACTTTTTAGATACATAGTACACTTGGCTTATTTTTAATTTATCTATTGGAGAGCTGTTCCTGTGTTAAAGAGAAGATTATTTAATGATACTTGTTAAAGCACAGTATCAGGACTATTGTGATAGGTATAGGGACTCCTGCAGTGGGGTTTTGCAATGGGAAAGAGAGATTGGGCTCAGCTCCAAATACAACATGGACAAGGGGGAATTTATAGCCAAGGAGCAGTGTGGGGGTCAGTGGATAGAAAATTACTAAGAGGAAACATCAGGAGTAAGGGGTATTCTGGCTAAAGCAGCCTAACAGAATTCTTGTTGAACACAGTCCAGACTGATCACATGTAACCAGGCAGGGGGACAGTGAAAAATGATGAGATATCAAGAATGGGAATTCTTTGCTAAAACTGGACTTTGTTAGAAAGTGCACAGATGGGCCTGGCAGAAGATTCGGAAGCCTGACTAAAGTTTGGCTAAGCAAAGACTCTTTGTCACCTAACAACTCAAAAGCTAACCTTCTGAATGTCTCTCCTGACTGATCATTCTAAGTACAAGTATACTATCCTTAGACGAGATGTCTATGACACTTGTTTGTACCACTTACTTGGTACTTACCACTTTTATTTCCAACTTATAATAAAAATAAATCCTTGAGTACAGAGGTTATATTTTGTACCTAACACATTTGTGTCCTTGCTAATTTGAGTATGTTGATAACATACTTAATCTTTTTTTAAGTCTTGACGTGACTCAGGATTGTACATCATTATAACAGGAAGTTTGGTTGACAAGGAATTTTCTTTTATTAAAAAAAAGAGACTAAATATATTGTGTATTTTGTAAAAGGAACTGCAGTATACAATAAAATAAATGTATTAGGTACTATGCTAGGTATTTAGAAAAAAACTAGTATATTTGCCTTAGTGTTGCCAGTGGTGTTATGGATAGATTAGATATCTGTTAGCTTGTGGCTGTTTAACAACTAGCTTTGTTATCACCTTTGCTCACTATTCTTTTGCTTTATCTAAAATACTGTTCACTTACACCTTGCTACAGGAATCAAAGACTGCATAAGGCATTGAGAAAATATAGCCAGACATTATTTAGGTCATGTTAAATTGAGATAAATGATACAAAGAAAAGCGTTAGACTTTGTGGAGTACCCATAATGTACTTTATTTTAATAAGATCTGTATAATAAATCTCAGAATGGATACATGAAAAACCAATAGACATAGGGTAAAGAGGAAGGGCAGTACTTTGATAATGATGGACAGGGGTCAAGGTGATAGCTGAACTTTTCACTGTATAAACTTTTTTTAATGTTTGATTTTTGTGATGTATCACCTGGTTAAAAGTTAAGAACCCATATTTTAGAGAGTGTATAATTGAGTTGAAGGGAAAAGCCTGAAAAATAGTCCCAAAAGGACTATAAAAATTGGTTTGTTCTTAAGTTAGTCCTGTATGCTTGGGTTATGTGGCCAGCACCTTTCCCCAGGTGATAAGTTAATCTTTGGAACAGGTACACTACCAAAAGAGATTTCCATGCACTATCTTTATAAACCTGAACATGTAAAAGTTACTCAGTGTTGTGGTGCTGGGTTATTGTTCATATAGTTTAAGGATTATTTAAAAGTGTTGATGAAGGAGAGAATAAGTTCTCAATTCATTCTGCTTTTTTATCTTCATATTGAAGTCTGAACATTCTTTCCATTAAAATCTTACTTAAATTTTTGTTTTTCTTGGGAACTTTTTCTTAGTATAAAATAGAACTCTCAGTTAAGGTGGATTCGAAGTTTATAGGATTCAAACTAAAAAGGAGATATTACTGTAACCTAAGCATTTTTATTTCAATTTTTATTTTTGTTTTGAATATAAATTCAACTTTTGTGGTTTATTGTAATCTCTGAAGCAGAAAGAAACACTAGAGAAAATGGAAGCACAAATAACCGTGCCCTTTTTTGGAGGAAGGACCAAATAATATCTGTCATTTTATATGAAGTGGAAATAACACAGACTTTTAAGTTATAGAAAGCACTGAATTTACATCCTAGCCATGTGCCCTTATGTTGTGTCATTAGGCAAGCTCCACTTCTGTAAGATGGGCCAGGGTGCTCCCTTGCTGGTAATTGTGATCAGAGATAGGCAACTAAACAACAGTGCCTACCACATAATAAGCCTGTAGTTGTAGCTTCTGTTATTATGTCTTAATATAGTCATTACAGTATTTATCAAGGAAAACAATCTTTAAACAAAACTATGTTCTTTTTTTGCATATTTGATTGTGAGAATTGGAATTTGAATTTTATTAATTTAAAAGAGTCTCACACTATAGAGGGAAGGTTCTTTTCTAATTTCTGAAATATAGTTTTGAATTTCCTAAGCAGTAGCTTGGAGGTGGAAAGGCAATTTTACTTGTAAAAATTGATTCTAACACTTTGCTTTTATCAAGTATTTTTTTAAAAAGCAGTCATTCTAAACAGTTGCATGTTTTCTTGAGTTGATGAAAGCTAATTTTTTTAACCACAGGTGAATTCACTTGCCATATTTGTACTGCTATTGAGAGATTAAATTGTTTCACATTAGTGTTGCAATCATATTGTTATTTTTTAATTTATAACTTATAGTCCATCTTCTATCTTAAAGGATTAGAGGTATTGTGCAAAGAAAGCATATACCCGTATGTATATGTCAAATACAAGGTGAATTAGATCAATAACAACCATATAGAGTAGAGAAGATCAGTTTTCTGGCAGCCAAGGCCACAAGGGAAACTTGATAGATTACTTAGCTCTGATATTCATTTTTAAAAATTTAATTATTTTTAAAATTAATTTTTTAATTGACATAAAATTGTATATTGTGTACAACAGGATGTTTTGAAGTGTGTATACATTGTAGAATGGCTAAATCAAACTAATTAACATATGTATCACCTCACATACCTTAGCTTTTTTTTTTTTTCTGCAACTGTTTTCTGTGCACGTTTTTCTACTTCAGGAGAAAAAATTCTGGTGCCAAATTCTAAGCAGAAGTTTTCACAGATATTTAAGTAAAATACATCGAATGAGGTAGTGCTATGGTCCTCAAACGTGATCCATGGCCTGTTAGGAACCAGGCAGTACAGCAGGAGGTGAGCGGCAGGCAAGCAAGTGAAGCTTTATCTGTGTTTATAGCCGCTCCCCATCATGCTCATCACCGCCTCAGCTCTGCTTGCTGTCAGATCAGCAGTGGCATTAGATTCTCCTAGGAGCATGAACCCTACTGTAAACTGCACATTCAAGGGATTTAGGTTGTGCGCTCCTTATGAGAATCTAATGCCTGATGATCTGAGGTGGAGCTGAGGCAGTAATGCTAGCACTGGGAAGCAACTGCAAATACAGATTATCATTAGCCGAGAGGTATGACTGCACAGTAAATGTAATGTGCTCGAATCATCCCGAGATCATCTCACCCCCCACCCACCCCAGCCATATATTCTCCTTCCATGAAACCAGTTCCTGGTGCCAAAAAAACCACTGATAAGGTGGAGTTGTTTTTGGGGCTGATTTTATCAACCAGTTACATTTTAAAAAACAAAGGTCATTGAAGGCGAGGGCTATAAAGTTTTGTTGTATGAGAGTACTGTACTCCAAAGCAGTGTATTTAGGATAGACTGTACTCATCATAGGGAGAAGGAGATTCTAATTAAGGTCAGTTCTTCACTGAGTCACACTCATGCTATTCTAAAGCCTATATTTTCTCAACAGCGTTTAGGGTGTTATTTTGTTTTGCTGACTTCCAAAATTACATCTTTTTAAAAAAAATTTAAATGTTAAATATAGCACAATTACAGAGAATCTCAGCAGTTGACATTTTACTCTTCCATTCTTCCCCATTTATTTATTGTTAGCATGGACTTATGAATTCTTGTATTTCTCAATGTTTATAATTCCTCACTGTCCTTAATTATTTTAATGCCTAAATTGTCCTAGATTTGGCCAGTAAGAACTCCCTCAAGCTGGCCCCTGTGTGCTTGTGACATGACCCATCTTTTTTTTTTTTTTTTTTTAGGACTTCATTACTTTCTGGTATAACAAGCTGTTCTGGGTTTATCTTGTATCTTCTCTGCCATAGTCCTAGAATCCGCTATTTTTCCAAAGAGCCCTGGTTATTTTTAGTAGAGAATGGTATTAGGAACCAAGATCTGGGTGTTGGGTGTGTTTATTGCTACTTCATATGTTTATAGACCCCCTACAGCAGGCAGAGTAAGGAAATACATTTATGTATATACACTTACACATACATAATTAATCATAAGTTCATGAGATACAGCTTGAACAGCCCTAATCTAAAATTCCAAAATCCAAAATGCTCTGAAATCCGAAACGTTTTGAGTGTCGACATGATACCACGGTGGAAAATTCCACACTTGACACCTTAGTTTTCTGATGTTCAGCATACACAAACTTTGTTTCATGCACAAAACTATCAAAAATATTGCATAAAATTACCTCCAGGCTATAAGGCATATATAAAACAAATGAATTTCATGTTTAGACTTGGGTCTCATCCCCCAAATATCTCATTATTTATAAGCAAATATTCTCTGAAAAAATCCAAAATTGGAAACACTTCTGGTCCCAAGCATTTTGGATGAGAGATACTGAACCTATACCTTCAATTCTAGCCCATCCTTATGGGGTTGTTCCTTGTCTTTGTTCTTCCCCCTTTTTGTATTTTGTGGCTCTCAAACATCCGTGCTCTTACTCATTTGCTCAGTCTTGT